TTTTACAAGCTGAAAATGTCTTTTTAATATGCAGTTGTAATGTCTCATTCTCAGCCTGGATTTACTCCTTTGAGCTGTTGAATACTTCAGTCAGTAAAATAATGCTGTAAGTAGGCATGCTCAGGGTTTGGACTCTTGTTTGGTGTTTTTGTAGCTGATTTAACAATCTGAGCCCTGCTGTTCACCCCAGCTTTGGTTGTGTTCAGTCGCATTTTGCTGCTTCCTGCCATATCATTTGTATATCCAAAGATTTCCATTTCAGTAACGCTAAAATGACTTCAGAATGCTTCCTTTGAGGAACTTGTATTTCTTAGTGACTGGCCAGAGCAGACCTTTATGTTCAAAGCAGTTAAGCAGCATTCTGATCATTGGAGATTGAAATGTCTGTAGTAATACACTAAACAATATGCCTCCTTTTTTTCTGCACTTCATTTAAAATTCATCCTTAGTGTAAAATATCACCAGCATGTCACCAGCACTGTGGCACTGTCCAGGCAGGTAAAGAACAGCATGAGAATGATGGGGATTATTAGAAGAGAATTATTTAAAATATGTCCCCAGAAAAATGTGATCTACCTGAATAATATTGATGGATACTCAACCCAGAACTAGCTCTCTTTTAGTAGTTCTTGGTGAAAATATTTTTGTTACCCTTTAACAGGATGTTTTTACTTATAAATATGACCCAGCTGTGTTGTTTCTACTCAAGGGTCACAGTAAGCAGTTGCCCTAGCACGGGCCTGAGGTAAGACTAAACCAGAGTTTTCCTACTGGGCTTTGACAAATTTGATTTGAGAACAATTCCTCACTTATTTATGGATATTTCAGTTGAGCCCACTGCTTTGGTCTTGGTATTACCACAGTGCAGAAAAGTTTCTTGTCATTTTAAAAATTGCGTTGATACTCATGACTCAACTTTAATAGACTTTTTTTAAAATTCTGTGCAGTTTTATGTGCCTGTGCAGGTACCTAGTTTCTTACTTGAGCATCTTTTTTTACTGGATTGAGAACTCCTGTGAAGAATTTAGTAGGCTGCATTCCCTGGAAGAGTTTCCATTAAATGATCAGGGTGACGTGATTTACAGAAGTCAAGGATTTGGTCATTTATTCTTACCAATGAAACAGCAGACTAAATAAAGCTGAGTGGTAAGAACTCATGGTGTGCTTCATGTCTCTGGGGTTCCTCACAGTATTTGTTCTGTCATCAGTGCTACTTTGTTAGTGGATTTAAAAACCTGAAACAGAACAAGCAGAGCAAATGATGAACCCCCAGGCCAATGCAAACTGAAGATCTCTATTCAGATGCAGCTGGTTTGTGCTGGTTGCCTGCAGATGCCTGTAATTGTGACTGCCCAGCAGTGCTGTTCAGAGTGGTAAATCTTCTGCTTAAGAAGGTGATATTTCTTTATACTGCCAGCAAGATTTTCATGTGAACTAGTTCTGGGCTTCTGCAGTAGATGACAGGAACACTGAGCCTTGCTGTCTGTGTTCATAACAAAATGCAACACTTGCTTCCGTGACTCAGCTTTCTCTTAGCAAGATCTTCTCCATAGTGAGACTGTAAGTTAAAAACCAAATTCTGAATATTCAAAGATGCTAATTTTCACCTTAAAATGAGCATTTTGGTACCTCCTACTTCGGGCAGCAGAGGTAAAGGGTTCTGGTCTGAATTTTAACGTGGTGGCATGAAAATGCAAAATAGGACATCAAATGCAGGTTGTAGGAGATCAAATGCAGGTTCTTCTAAAGCAGTGAAGTTCTAGATAAAAAAAAACCCAAACATGCATATTTTATTGCTTCAAACCATGGCAAAATAGCACATGAATTATTCTATAGGTAAAATTTATTGTGACATCAGCTTTGTGGAACTTTGGATTCATATAATATCTGACACCTGTTCTCACGTGCTTTGAGGTACAGGTGGGACCACATTCCTCTGTCACTGAATTCCATGACTGCAGAAATCAAAAAGAGCTGAGACTGCTTATGCTATCTATGGGGGTTTTTTTCATGGTTTTTTCACTAGAACAATACTAACAAGCTTGAACTCTTGTGAAGACTTTCTAGACTCTTTCTGGTTTTTTCCTTTAAGCCTTTTTCTTATTCTTGGATATTTTTTATTGATGTCAAAGCTAACATGACTTCTCCTTCCTTTAGTAAAGTATTGTGTTCTTTTGTAATGAAAGGGAGACTCTGCAGGTACTGTCCTCTTCTGAAATGCTGCTTCTCACATACTCACTGTAGGTACATTGAGAATTAGACCTTTTGTCTGGTTTTACTGTAGGAAATGATAGTGAGCAAGGCCCATCTTCCCTGAAGCCACGTCTAGAGATGTGATAAAGGTCGCTGTCCCAATCTCCATAGGTCCCACGGTGTGTCATGTGAGGAGCATCCCAAGGATGGCGCTGTCAGGGGGTGCACTGTGAGTTATTTTAGCTGTGATACAGCACTAGAGTATCCAGCAAGTGCTGTTGTTCAGGGGAAAATGCTGCTGTCCCTTGAGGAAAGCAACTGTATCTTGTCAAGGCTTTGAGACTGTTGATACTGTAGAATGCATGTTCTCTTTGAATTTTTTGTTTTCTTCTTCCTGCGTTCTTTTGAACTCCTGCCATACAAACCAGTCCTTAAGGAAGTGAAAATGACATGAGCCTCAAGCTGATACAAGAGAGCGTGCATTTAAAACTTGTGCCTTGCTCTGTTCCGTCCTGCTTCCTGACTGTCTTCAGCAGGGAGTGTGCCAAGTCTGGCTGTGTCCTGCTGCCTCCGAGAATTCCTCATTCCTCACACAGGAACCTCACATCTGTCTTGGCAGTTCCAGCCACTCCTCCTGGCAGCTGCAGGCTGTAGCCCCACGGGGGTACCTGCAATTAGGAGCTGAGGATACAGTGACAGGGCTTTTCTTGAAGCAGACACGGGTTTCTGGGCTGGCTCCAGATTTCCCTGTCGATGGAATGGCTTTAGGAACCGTGTCCTTGCTGCAAGTGTTTCTTGGGTTGCAACCCTTGTGTAATACCCAGTTCAAACAGCTCTGTCTCATCGGCCCTTCCTTGCTCTGAGCTTAGGTCAGTGTCAGCTCTCACTTTTTCTGTATCTGGACCAGCCAGGTCTGTGGTTATCAAAGACAAGTCGGTGCACGTACAGCTTTCCTGCAGAATGCAGTCAGTGATCATTTTAGGCACTAGAATTCTGTGTTTCTTGGCATTCAGGCAGCTGAGTTGGAAATGCAAGATGAAGAGAACCCTTGGTGTGTGTAATGAAAAATCATCTGTCTGGAAGCCTCTCTCTGGTGTTAACTCATTCAGGGTGGAACTTCTCTTTGTCACCTGACTTGGTACCATATTAAATGTCTCTGGTATGCCATGCAGACTGAAATTCTTGAAGCTGGTGTGGCAAGGATCAGACATTTCAATGCTTAAGAATGTTAATTTCTTCTAAAGGTACTTTCATGTTGTTGTTTGGTCTTTTTGCATTCCTCAGGGTTTTTTCCAGACAGAAACCGAGAAGCTGGGGTTGTTATTTTAGTCCAGCACTGATTAGTGAGCCTGGGTGAAGGGCAGGTTTCCTGCCCAAAAGCTTTGAGCAGGACCATGTGCAGCTGCAGGTCAGGCTCAAGGCTGGGTTCAAGTCTTGCCAGAAGAGAAGGGATTGATAATCAGGTATCTGAGTAGACAGTGAGGAGAGTAAAATCTATGCAGACAGCAGGAATCTTGCTCTGAATCTTAACTGTGAATGAGACGGCTCACGTACGCTCGCTCTTGATGCTGAATTTTGGGGTTTTGATGAATAGAATGCCTTGGAGTTTCTTTTCCCCTCTCTCATCTGATCTTTCTCGTTTAGTTTTATGTTATGCTCATCTTGGCACCAGGAAGATCGGTCTTCAGGGTTTAATTAAATTTGTGGACATTACATAGGTACTGTTAAGTACATCGTATTTTTTAGCTTTTTTGAAAATCTGGAGCGAAAGACCAATTTGCTTACAATGTAGGAATGAAAAAAGAAGCCAACCAGGACTGGAAGGATTAAGCTCCCAGTTGGGAAATGACCATGTTAATGCCACACCTTATCCTAATCCCATTTCCCAATGGACCTGGGTGCAATCTAGGCTGAAGTTAGGGTGGCCATGTTCTAGATCTTCACACACCTAATATTTTTCAAGATCTGCTTTGAACCTTTGTTTATGACTTAGGATCATTATTTTATGCTTGTCACACCATCCAGTTGTTTTACTAGGGAGTTTTGACAGCAGTTGTACTGCTGGCTTGAAAAATCATTCTTTCCTTAAATACAAGATAAAGCATAAGTATATCCTTAGGTGATCTGCCTGTTAGGTTTAGCTTTTGATTTATTACTTTCTCTTCTCAGATTTAAGAGCTTGATTATTGTATATTTTTAATGCAGAGAATTGCCAAGTGCTTCTAACAGTCTGCAAGACTCCACAGTCCAGAGAAATGCTTTATTTTCCTCTAATGTTGCAGGAAGGAGGTTTTGCTTTAAAAACATTCCTGTAGTAGATGTAATATAGAGTGCATCAGTGTATGTTTGTACAACAGTTGTGTACGTTCTTAGCTCTTTGGAAAACTAATAAAAGATAAGATTTGTTTAATCATGTTCCCCCAGCTTTTTAGGAGTAGAAGGAAGAAGTTTACAAATTTTCTTCAATATTTTGGTTGTTAGCAGCTGTCTACTTGGGAGTTAACTTTTATCTTTAGGTGAAAATAATTTCTAAAGCACAGTAAATACTTTGCTTTTACGCCTTGCTTTTCAGTACCTCTTCCTACTTTATTTGATCCTCTGAGTTGAGGAACCTGTGAGATTCAGAGACCTTCAAATGCAGGTGGCAAGTAGTGGGAGCAGGAAAAAAAATACATGATTGCAAAATTTGGAGCTGTTGGTCTCCAGCTCTCTGGCTGGCAGTGCTTTCTTTACTCCCCACTAGTTTAAGCAGGTGATACTTCACAAGGTGATGCCTCAATTAAATCTCTGATTTTCTTTTCTTCTAGACCATACCTTCGGTAAAGCTCTGTGGAAGATAGATGTGTGTGCTGCAATGGTGACATAAACATGTCAGAGGACTGGAACAAGTTGTTGAGAATCTGTGTTTGTTTTTCATGCTGCTGTTGAGAGCTATCTAAGGCAAGTAAACACCATGAGTTTTCTCCTGAAACTTCACAGACATTTTCAAAGAACAGTCATTTTGCTGGCCACTTTTTGTATGGTGAGCATAGTTATTTCTGCCTACTACTTGTATAATGGCTACAAAGAGGAAAATGAACTTCCTGAAACCTCTTCAGAAGTGGAATGTGGTGATCCTCAGGCGTTGCCATACAAGCTGATGGAGATGAAGACCACGAAGCCTGTCGATCCCCTGAGGACAGACCTGGTAGTGCTGGTGTTTGTGGAAAGCCAGTACTCAACCTTAGGCCAAGATATAATAACCATTCTGGAGTCTAGCAGGTTTCAGTTTCACCTTGAGATTGCATCTGGGAAAGGTGACCTCCCAGTGCTTACAGACAAAACCAGAGGCAAATACGCTCTCATAGTGTATGAAAATATTCTGAAGTACGTGAATATGGACTCTTGGAACAGAGGCCTTCTGGATAAGTACTGCCTGGAGTACGGCGTAGGTGTGATCGGATTTCACAAAGGCACTGAGAACAGCTTGCAGAGCTTTCAGTTGAAGGGTTTTCCTTTCCATGTCCACAGCAATCTGGGTGTTCAGGACTGTTGCATTAACCCTCATTCCCCACTGCTCCATGTGACCAAACCTTCTAAGCTTGAGAAAGGGCCCTTGCTTGGAAATGACTGGGCCGTTTTCCAGATTAATCACACAACTTATCAGCCAGTGGTATTTGCAAAAGTAAAGGCACCAGAAAACCTTTCTCCACCTGCTGCTCCAAGTGCTCTCTATGCCACAGTCATACATGACTTGGGGCTCCACGATGGCATTCAACGAGTCCTTTTTGGCAATAACTTGAATTTTTGGCTGCACAAGCTGATTTTCATAGATGCCATCTCTTTCCTGTCTGGAAAGAAACTCACACTCTCCTTGGATAGGTACATTCTGGTTGACATAGATGATATCTTCGTTGGCAAGGATGGAACAAGGATGAACACCAACGATGTACAGGTAAAGTGTGTGCACAAACTGATGGTCAATGCAGCAGAACTTTATTTTCATCTGAAAGGGAAGAGTTGTTCAGAGTTGGAACTTGAGGGCTCCACTCAGGAGCTGTTCATATTTAATGCACTTGTTGTGAGTCTTACAAGCTGGAGGTGAATGTGGTGAGCTACAGTAAATGGCAGCATAAAATGTGAAGAGTGGACTGGGTTATTGGCTGCTTGAGATAGGTTTGGATGTCAGGAGTTGTTTGCAGCATTTCACCTCTCTCATCTCTGTTTTATGGCACTTGCTTGCAGGGAGGGTTTGTGCTAATACTGCTCTTAAAAGCTCATTCTGTCACTAAATGACTCGACAATCTCCATGGTAATGTTTAGAGCTGTACATTCCTGAAGGTCCTTTTCCACTCTGTTGTGCTGCTCAAGTGAGGTGACAGCTGTTGGTCAGTAGCACAAACATCTTCACATTATTTCTTCCTGTGTTTCTTGTGTGCTTTTTGTGAGGAGTGTTGTCCCAAAGCAGGTAATAGGAGATGACCTTTCTCACCTTGGTCTAGAAGCTGAGAATCTCTAACATCCTGATTGTTGCCCTGTTTGCACTAAAAATAAGGGAGAATGTTTCCTTAGAAGTTTGTTCATGGAATGAGGAACTGCAAGAAGGAAAGACAAGGACAGCACTGCATGCAGTGGGTCATTTTTGTTTCATTTTTAAGCAAGTTTTTGGGTTTCTTCAGTGTTAATGCACTTGTCAAGCCACAGCAGCTCTGCATACTTTGCTCTCTTAAATGCAAGGTTTGACCCTGCGGTTAAACTTTTAATTTGCTTTAAAATTGCATTTGCTCTTTTCCAAAACGTTCTCTGTACATGCACTTAAAAATGAGATTTACCTCCTTGTTAAGCAGGTGTTTTCCTTAGGCAAACAAATGAGAGCAGAAATAAAGGTGAAGCTTCCTAAATGGTTTTCCCATGGAGAACACAATGGCAGTGTTTGAGTTAGGTGAGTGAGCATCCTTGGAGAGTCTCCTGAATGCAAACTCAGATGGCAGGAAAAAAGTCAAGTCTGGCCAGCATCACTGGCAGGACTTGTGTTGTTCTGCAGGAGCAGAACTTTCTGGTAACAAAGGGGCTGAAATAAAGCCTGAATAAATCCATCACTGAGTTGTGCAGTAGCAGTCGGAGACAGCACGTTTTGTGTTGTTTGTCTTTGCAAGTGACACCTTAGGATTGTCATTTTAAAATAAGTTGGGATGTTGAATTGCCAGAGTTCTATACCAGAAGCAGGAGACTATTGAGACAAATTTGATTACAGCAGATACAGGAGGATAAACCGTATTGTTTGGGGGAAATAATTTGCAGTATGTCAGAAAGTAATCTTCTCACAATAAAACTGTCACATTAAATAGAAGTAATATCAAAGTGGAAGTAACTTTTAAGTAGGATAATTTCATTTATACAGAACTGTGTTCTGAAACAATGGAATCTGAAAAAAAGTGTTCCCTTCTGATTCTTCATCTACTTATAGTTAAAATGTTGTATTAAACATGTTGTTAGGGCTGTCAGATGCAATGCATCTTCATTACTATTAATATCAAAGGAGTTCTCCTTGGTGGCACAATGACATGTGGAAGGAATGAAACAAAATCAATTTGCAGTAGTTGGAAATAGGTTATTGTAAAGTGTATTTGCAGATAAATGACATCTCATTAAACAAGAGTTTTAGTGAGTTCTGCTGCAGTGACTGTGACAGGGAATTGGGCGCTGCAAGTGTGAAAAGAGGTTCTAAATGTAGACTTTGTATAATTTCAGTACTCAAGATGAGCTCATTTCCACTAAGCACACATTTTTAACTACTGGCAGTGTAGAACTGAGGGGGATGCTCTTTTGTGATTTAATTTTGTTTGACATATCTCCTTGTTCATATTTTCTGGATATACTTGCAGCTGCTAGGGCTGTGAGCTGGAAGAGAGTAAGGTGAATGTTTCTACCAGTATTCTATCCACACAAATCAATCTGAAACTTAAGGAATCTGCCAAGAGCCAGAAGACCTCTAGGGTTGGTTCTGACTGCTCTGTGGATAGGACAGAGTTCTAGGACAGAGAAATGGGAGGATTAATGCAGAACCAATAGCAAAAATTAGGTGGTCATCTGCTCCAAACCCCCTGCTCAAGCTGGGCCATGGCCAGGTGCCTTTTGACTGTCTCCAAGGAGAGAGATCCTGACTGCATGTAAGATCGTGGTTTCAAAGCGATTTCTTCTTTAGACATCTAAATTAGGTTTGCGAAATGGCCAGAATGGTTAATATCTGGGGGCTTAACCCATCAAGGTGTAACTTCCCTCTCCTTTAAAGTGTGTGTAAATTGGAGTAAAGCACTTAGAAAAATTGCTATTATAAGGTTTAGTGGTAAGTTTTTATCAGTGTTATATATTGACCTCAGGAGAGGTCAGATTAAAAGCAGACCCTCTAAAATGAGTATCTTCTATACCTCTAAAGAGGAGGCCAAGTGGTGCTACTTCAGCTCGAGTACATGTAGTGTCAGGAACACAGTCGTAAAGAGCCCTTCTAAAAACCTTTTACAAACACAGTTTATCAACCTAAATCCTGTTGTAAATGCTTTGTTTTGTTAAGCAGCTGGTTAAGTTTATTCTAGTTTCAACACAGCTTCTTCAATTAAAAAAATAATAAATAAGCACCCCAACAACTTGAAACAGTGGTTCAGATTTTTAGAATAAGTACCTGTTAGAGATTTGCCTGTCTCTGTGTAACATCTGGGCTGATAGAACATTGTTCTTCGAGGTAAGATACTGAGTAGCTGGCACTGTGCATCAACAATAACCATCCATCCTCATATTTATGTACTTTATCTTCCTGTGGTATAATAGAAATAATGGAAGAGAGTGTTTCCATGCTCTAATTGCCTCCCACTTTGAAAATAAGCTTGGTAATAATCAACTCAACATTCATTTTTCAGTAGGTTTTTTTCTCTCCTATTGTCTGTCAGACAGGAGGGACCATTAGTCTGTGACAATGTTATATTTTATTTTCCTTGTTTCTTTTAGAAAGACTTAAGAGCCTGTGCACTGCAAATAATTCATTTAAATGGACATACAGAGAATAATTTATCTAGATTTCCACAGAATAAGTTTATCCTAATAGACCGTGATTGTCCTGGCTGACAGTCTACTAATTTAATATCTTTTTTGGTTACAGTTACTCTGTGAAATTTTTATTACTGTAAGGCGTTGGGATTTTTCAAGGGAGAAGCAGATGATAAAAGAGGGGAAGTTAAATGTGACTTTTTTTCCTGATGGCAGTTTGTTTCAAGCTGGTGGTCTAGGCTGTCTACCTTTCCCTTCATTTCCCCAACATACACACTTTCTGGAAATCCCTGAGAGTTAGTCACATTTTTCAAAGGAAAAGTTAGAACACTGCCAAATTATTTTTTCCTAATAATTAGCTGTGTGAGCTCCTCTTGACTGTCTGGTTCTTTGTGTGCTTTTCAAAAGAGGCTGAATTGAAGTCAGAATGGGGATCTCTTCTCTTCAGGTAAGCCTAACTGTTTTGTCTACCTGTAGTTAATCTTTATGATTGCCAAGGAAAAAGCTTTGTATTAACCATATCCATTATTGGAGGGGGATGATAGATCCTTATGTATCATCCTGGTTTGGAAGTGCATCTGTTGGTGAATATGTGCATTGCAGTGGGCAGTGCAAGATCCAGGCTGCAGTTTTCCAGCATTCATCACTGGAGAACTGGAGAAAAGAGCTGTGCCAGACATTGTTCCTGTAATGGAGAGGGCTCAGCCAAAAGGAATCAGTTCTTAGCCCTTCAGTCTCCAAACACAGTCACTCATCTTGGTGCTGAGGTTTATAAGGCAGACTCCTCTAATGGGGCCATTCCTCTGACTTCCCACAGTAGACATAAACATAGAAAAACTGCTCATCTTCAGGCAGGCACTGGTTAAGTGAATTGCACCTTAAAAGTATGTGACTGTTGTTCATAAATTGTTTCCAGAGTGACTAAGATCAAATATAAATATTTGTATTTGGTCAGATCAGTCCTCTTCCATTTTCCATAAGTGAGTGCTGTTGCTTTTCTTACTTTCTTAGCAACATTGGTGGCCTAACCTTTGGTTTAATGTAGTTCTGTTTAATAACAGATTTCCCCACTAAGAGCTAATTGTTTATTCCTTGTATTAAATTAATTCACATTAATCAGCGCTGCTTAAATTATTGCAGTTGTTTAAAACTCATTAAGTGTCTTTTCACCCTGTGCATCACACATGGAAAGAAACCAGAACTTCCCAAGGTAAAGCAGACTTGGCTATAAATTTTAAAAATCCAGTCATGTGGCTGTTCAGTTTTTCTTGCATAAGAGTGACCTAAATATTTGCCTCAGAAGAGAATCTTCCATATATATTGTGTTAAAGCAGAAGGGCCAAAAGGTGCAGAAAGCCTAAACTGTCAAGACAAAGGATGGTCCCTGTCACAAGAGCAAGTCTAATTCTTTAAGTTAATTGCTTTTTTATCCATAGGATCACGTAGAAGGTTATCAAAAAAGAAATGACAGATGTCATCAAATGTGTCGGCTGCAAAATCACTGAGCTGTAACTCTTTCCTTCGGGGAGGTTCAAAAAATCTTTTTAATCACATCTTTAAATTACATAAGAAATTAATGATTACCAACTTTTGTTCTGCTAAATCATTTTGCATTCCCAGTCTGTTAGCTCTAATACCTGTATACCACAGTGGAATGTGTCTGCTGTGTGTGTACATTCTTTCTTAATCTGACCTGAAGCTCCTAAGGTATTTCATACTGACTTATTGGAAATAGAAGGTAAAAAGTGCATTCAGTTCTTCAGAAGTGTCGAGGAGAAGGAAAATTACTGACTGGGGTGTCTCTGTAGTTGTCTGATGCCCTAGCAAGGCTGGTTTACTTGAGCATATCGTGTCAGCTGTAGTAGTGTGGAGTGTTGCTGTCTATTGTGAGACAGTAGAGAATTAGAATTAGAT